CATTTATCATTCAGAAAAGGTCAATTAGTACTCCCAATAGAATACACACACAAACAGAAGAAGAAACAAGTTTCTTTTGGACAAAAACTTCACCAATTAAATGCAAACAAATAGAACTAGGCATAAAATCAGTAGGATGAATTCAGAAAAATTCTGATGCAATTTATCCTTAATTATTTCTCCACTATTTTCTCCACTAAACCCACACATTTCTGGTGTGCACTAATTCACATTATTTTAGGGTGTATTCACACGTGACTCATTTGGAGCTCAGGTGTTGACACCAGGAGGGTTTCTTATATGTGCGTCGGCATATGTGAACACAGCAATCGCACTCGGATAGGAGAAAAGACAAGCTGGCTGGGATTGCCAGGAAAGGGTGGTCTCGGCTTTCGTCCAGTCAAACCCTGGAGTGGTTTCATTTGTGGAGCGAAAGCAAGTGGACCGACCACCAGTATTTAGTGCTGGTACATTTGTGTTTTCAGCTCGATTTCAAAGGCTAAAGTCCTAATAAATCAAATAATAGTCAGTTTATTAGTCCATTAAAGAGTGTGTGACAGCAGTACCACAGTAAGAAGCCCCAAATCATTACTGTCCTTCTTCATCCTGTCTCTACCTGTTAGTTAGAATTCATAACACGCTGTCAATTTGCAGTCAAATAATGCTTATAATCATTAGCTCACCTTATTTCTTTGTGAGCTCTCTGTGACACCAAAGAACATAAGTACACACATCAGAAGCATCAAAGCGCTGTATGATGTGTCAGTCAGTGGAAGTGGATGCTGTGGGTCCTGATGATGCAAGATGACAATCACCAAAGTGAGCTACTCTATAGCAAATAACAAAGTCAGTGGGACCAGGAACCCGACCACCACTAAATAAAACAATGTATCATGTCTTTGGTCTGGATCAAATGAACCAAACTACTGGTATGAATACACACAGATTCCCTGGATTGGGGGGGTTGGACTGTTGGTCAGACCAAATAAACTGTTTCAAGACATCACATTAGACTCTGGGCATTTTAACAGGAGTTCAACATTATTTTGTGGTATTTTACACAGTAAACTTATTTGGCAAATACTTTAAAAATTAAAAGTAACTACGCTACGCTTTGAATTTCCCAACCAAGCAGTTCAGCTGATTGAAAAGAGATGAAATCACACAATTACACACAGCCATTCTAACAGTGTGGTCATCATGTCAAGAACAATTTCAGAGTTAATGTCACTGTGTGAATTGTTGGTAATGCTTAATTTTCTAATAAATTGTGGCTTATTGCTACTAGACTACTACTACTAATAGATTGAACAGCCAGTTTTAGCTTGTCATGGATAATCTGTGTTGCCATGTTGTCTTTTTAGCTAATTTATAAACTGTGTCTGTCTTCTATTCCCAACTTTGCTGCTTTCTCTATAAAAAATCCTATTTGCAATTTAAATAAATAAACTCCTAAAATGTACAAACCAGAGCTTTGTCCAAAGTAAATACAATACAAAATTGACAAAACAGGGGCTGCAAGTGACAATTGAGTAAACATTTTTTTGTTTTAATTGTTTGTCCAATTAATCAATTGACTGTTTAGTCAGTAGAATGTCAGAAGTGAAGAATGCCTGTTAAAATTGCCCAAAGCCCAAGGTGATGTGTTTCAATGTATTGTTTTGTTGAACCAACATTCCAAACTAAAATAAATTCAGTTCACAGTGATATAAAACAAAGAAAAGAAGCAAATCCTCACAATTTACAAGCTGGAAGCAGATCATTTAGGGCATGTTTGTTTGATTTATGACAAAAATAGCTCATTTTCTTAATTAATTATATAATATTAATATTGCTGAAAATGACTGAAAAATCTGTACTTTGACAGTTGTCTATACATACTGCAGTTTGATCTGTGTACTTTGTGGCCCTGAATCACCTGTGTCCTCTCTGAACACGTTTTCTCATTAGATCATTTCACTTGCCATGTTTCACATGCTCTTACCCCAATTGGATCTGAGTGACGGCCAGCTGGAGATAATCCTGCAGTGACACAGCATTCCCACATCCCCGTCCCTGGGTATCTGGGCTGAGGTCAACGCACCTGCCTATAGCGCCAAGCCAGGGGAAGCGGTAAGGCTGATCACAGATCAGCTGGCTAACTTTGTCCTCCTCTGGCTACAGCGGCAACAGCGGCAGCGTTAGGCATGACTTAATTCTTCTAACTGGGTATCATCAGCGGATAGAGGAGCTGCACGTAGCTCACTGCACGAGTGGGTCATTACATCACAGCAAGCCCAACATGCAGGGGACCATAAAGCCATAGGTTTGTCCCTGGCATGGAGGGTTAAAGATGTGACTCTCACCTGCGATGACTGACTGACAGACAAGACAAAGAGGACGTATTTCTTCCCACAGTGCCCTTCTTTAACCTGACAGGGGTTATTTTCTCATCTGTTCATTGTTCATTCTAACAACGCCTCATCTCAACACTTTGTATGCAGCCAAGGTGCTAATAACCCACCAATTCTTTATTTATATTCCCTTTTCATTTACATTGCCAATGAAGTGACACAGAGCGTGAGGTAGAGTATGGTTGACCTGTTTTCATAAGGAGGGCACAGAAGCTCAGAGACTCTGTCCTTTACACCAGAATAATTACTTTGCCACCCGTTCCCCATTTGGACAGCTCCTTTTGGTGTTATTTTCTCTTACCCAGATACTCATAAAGTCGTATTTTGAGAGGCTGGAAGCAAAAAGCTGCCAGGTTTCATACCAGGATTTTTTTTTTAAATATCCAATACAGATAACTTATAAATACCTGCTTCTCGTGGTCAATACGATAAGATAACCAATCATTTCACACATTTATATTTTAAAAAGAAGTTCATAACCGGAATTTTATGCAAACATGGCTCTTTTTTCCCTTTTTTAGATAGGATAGCTAAAGATATTCAGGATAAGGGGTAGAGATTTTTTTGATAGTACATTTGTGTTTTTGGCACAAATTCAAAGGCATGCAGCAAAAGGCCACAGGTGGGGACTCAAACCTGTGACCACTGCAGCAGGGACCCAGCCCCTGCACATAGAGCGCCAACTCCACCAGGTGAGCTTTCTGGTCGCGTCTGCAGCTCTTTTTTTTTATTGGTTCATTTGTCAATCATTTTCTCAACTAATCGATTACTTGTTTGATCCATAAAACGTCAGGAAATTGTGAAAAAAATTAATTTGAGAAACCGAAATCAGAGAATTTTGAGATTTTTTCTGATTAATTGATTATCAAAATAGTTAGCGGTTAATTTAATAGGCGACAACAAACTGTTGGTAAGGTAAGAAAGGTTAAACTGTAGTTAGCAAAGAGGGGTGACTTATGTTTCCACAGCTCTGACAAACTATTGTTGTTTACACAAAAACAAACAACAGTTCCGACTCTTCAAATGTTCCTTTAGTTTTTCTTGTGAAGTACATAAAAAACTTCACAAACATATTGGCTTTCATAGAACATAAAGCATATCAACCCTTTTGCATTAGAATTCAAAATAAAAGATTTTTCAACCAATATTTGAATGGCTATAACTGTATTATCAACATATCAATGTCAATTTCCCATTATCAACCGATAACTTATAAGCACCAATATATATTGTGCATCCCTAACTTTTTTCTAATAATGCCGAACAGTGACAACTACTTTGAATCACATTCACAGACATGCTACAGTGCATTGTGTGAAATGACTTAATTCAACTGGAACTGATTTGATTAATTGCCAAGGCAGTTGACTCAGGCCATATTAAAATGATGAACTGCATTCTTTGAATAATTATCAAGCTCATTAGAAACAAAGTGATGACAGCAAGATGGTTACGGTACATTTGTTAAACTTCATTTACTGAGGTTATATTGCCTATCTGGAGGCAAGAAACAAACTGATTGTATTATGGTACATAGAAATTCAAATTGAACTGATGTTCATGCTGTTCGCGGTTCAAACCCGTCCTAGTGAATTCATGTGAGCAGAATCACCCTCAAACACTCAGCACTGGGAGAACATCACGCCACACTCCATTTAAACATTTAACAATTTACACTTTCTTTGTTTAACCAGACACACACATAACGCTGACAGCTTCACAACACACTTGCTACTTTCTAACATCGAGTTCAAGCACATCGGCAAACATTTGAACCACTAATTATCACGTTTTTCAATTCAATCCCCAAACTTTTACAACTGATTTATACAATTCTTCCCTGCCAACCGAAGAACAGAGTCAACACCAGGGACATGGATACTCAAAGTTCAGCTCATCATTTAATACGCGTTACTTTGTATCGAAGTGGATAGATGACGGGTTGCAGATTGCTTTTAAGGGAATATTTTAGTTATGCTCGGACCGGTGTGTACCTCAGGCCAATAGGAAACGCCACAACGTTATTACACTGGCAGATTTTTAAACAGGGTCTCGCTCTGTCAGTGAAATACCGGGCGAATAAACCCTTTCTGTGCAATAAGGAATCAACAGGCGAGGAACAGAAATATGAGTGATGCCGTCAGCCTGCTTCCCTTTTTGGACAACGAATGTTAAAATGCCTCCGGTGTTAACACACAGTATATGAAGGGCAATGCTGTAGGGCAACGATATGCAAAATAACCTTTTGTATCACAGTGAGGAAAGCAACGGGTCGGCTAAATGAACGCATTAGCTTAGCTTCACCGACAGACACAGGAGCATAAAAGCGACACCAAAGCGGCGTTAATGCATATCATTTCACAGCAAACAAGTCGTTTTTACATTCGGGCGTATAAATTGGCCGCACAGCCGTGAAGAATAGCGGCGTTGTGGACGGCGGTTCGGTGGGGGAAGGGGGAAGGATGCTGGAGCCAGGCTTCGGCGGCCTGTCGCCGCTTCAGCCCTCTTCAGCAACAGTCTAAACGAAACCCTGCTTTGTTTTTCCTATATTCTAGATAACATTAGCACAGCATTCACTTTCCACCAACACACTGCACACCGACTTACCGGACGGGTTGACCGCGGCGGGAGTTGCCATGTTTCCTCAGCGGAGAAAAAGATAACAAAACGGCAGCGATGGAGATGACGCACAATACGGCTAGAGAGCCCCCGTGAGAGACGGTGTAAAGTCCGCGGGATTGGCACGCGAGGCTCGGTCCAACCAACCGCCTCACATCCGTTAGCACGCGGAGGAAACCTAATCTGGATTCAGACGACCAACAAAAGCCTGTTTCTGAGCAGAATATGTATATGTGCTGTGTGTTTAATGAAAATGTTCCCCAAGAGCAGACTTAATAAAATGCAAGATGTCTGAATGGTAGCACCGCGAGATTTTAGGGTTGCTTGAATAAATTAATGTTATACAGGGTGGCTGGTGCAGTGATGAATGTAATGTAAACATGGCGCTGTGTATGTAACGATACTGATTTAAGTTTAGTCTGCCTGTTTATAAAGTTGTTTGGGTTAAGATATGTTCACTTTCTAATATGGTATATACTCCTCCCACTAAAAGCTGCCCAGTTGCTGTGTGTTTACTGGTGAGATACTGGGGCAGTCAAACCCCAGTGTCTCATCCTGAGCTCTAATAATCCACACAGTTTGCTAAACAGACAGTCTCTACCTGTAGATAAAAACATGTTACTATATGTGTGCATAACAGTTTCCTTTTGAATGCACTTTATGTAAAGTCACAGTTTATAAAGGGCTTATCACTGTCTGTAGGCTACTGCAGATTGCCAATCTACTTTATATAACTGAATCCTCATTACTGATGCATTATGCAGGGCCTTAATGTTGGAACAGGTCGAGGTGGAACGGATTTTATTTCACTGTCAAATAAATGTGGAGGTAAAGAGCAATATCTCCTTCTGTAGCAGAGAAGAATTACAAAGGGATATACTCAAGGGAAAGTTTACTTGACTAAATGTAATCAATTATTTAATTTAATTAATTAATTACATTTCACTGTGATTTCACCTTATATGATTAAATGTGACATAGAAACTGACTGATGTTTGCCTTCCATCACTGGGCTTTATTCATTGCTAATACAGCATTAAAACAATAATAATAACAGCAACCTTTGGCAGGTTGTAAGAAATCTCTCTGGATGATGTTTAAACCTTTTATCCGGGACTGCAGTTATAAAGGGTGGTAAATAAAAACTTTATAATAAGCCATTAAGCCTGCAGTTGTAGATGTTACGAACTGTAAATAAATTGATTTTGGTCCAGATTTTTCACAGGATTTTTTCAGAAGAGGTCCATCAGAGGGTCCACCAGAAGAATTAAAGAGCTAAAAAGCAGTGTGTGTCCTTGTTGAGGATAAACAGAGGAATACAGCATTAGTAAATTATCTATTAACCGTCTATAAATTATTTACAGCTTACAACGCCTTAAAGGATGGCTTATTAGAAAGTGAGTTTGATCATCTTGAAAAAAGCCAAAATAATAATCATTTTCTTTTTTAACTAGCTATTTTTGTTCTTTGCTTTGTGCTTCATCTATATGTTTATACTGTAATATTCTAGTACAATATTGATATTGTATTCTTTTTTATTCAGTTCCTTATCTATACTATGCTTTAAAGTTAACCACGCCCTGATTTTTCTTATAGCACCAAACAGCACCCCCAGTTACAAAATGTCCTCCCAGCCATGGCCAGATGAACCTGCTGGGTGGCCCTGTGGCAAAAATGAGTTGCTGGGCCTCTAGTAATCCCCGGCTCCTCCCACTCTTTGTGCAGTGCGTACAATGTGTTTTCTATGTTGGAATACTATCTTGCTTCAGTTCTGATGTGTAGAAATTTGATTGAGCAAATCCATTCAGGAATGTGCAACATACACGCACATGAGATCATTTATGAGGTAATAAAGCAGCACCAACTTCATTTCAGCTGATAGTTAGCTCTAGAGCTGCATATTGCCACACACATTTACAATTGAATTAGCATATAGCTAGACTGGAGCTTTTGGGACTCATCCAGCAGACATGGCCCACGTGTACAGAGTAGTGCTTCTTGAATTTAATGCCAATATTCATTTGAGCTTTGTTTTGGTCTAAACCAAGTCCTATTTTATATTCATCAAATCCCATAAAAAGACCCAAACAACAATATTTAAGTCCGTCTTTCAGTACTTTCTTTCTGATTTTCTGACTTCAGTTCTCTGTCTGCGGCTCTCAGCTCAAAACCCACTGGTTCCTACTAAAAAACAAGTCTATTAAAATGGGTGACAAGTCTATAGTTTAATTTTATAAAGAGGCTCAATAATTCCCTAAATGGACAAAAAGGAGCTGTATCCAGAAAGATCCTATGGTATACAAGTTTATGGATCTGTATCCAGATCTGTATATAATATTATATCATGTTGCATCAGATCATATAAAAATGCAAATAAAACCTGTCAAAGTCTGCAATCTTCTGCATACTGTCTGTATACAAACGTACCATCACCTTGGAGAGTACTGTATTTCTGTGCATTTGATCCTAGCTATACTTAAAGGTCCAGTGTGTAATATTTAGGAGGATCTATTGTCAGAAATGGAATATAATATTCATAGGTATGTTTTCATTAGTGTATCATCACCTGAAAATAAGAATCTTCATGTTTTTGTTACCTTAGAATGAGCCCTTAAAGTTGGTTGAGTGGTGAAGGCAGAAAGCAAGGGACCTTTCAACTTTTTATCAGTACAAATTCTTTATTTTCCCTTTTTCTTTACAGCAGTAGATGAGTGCAGCGTATTTATTTTTTAAATGAAAAATAACCAGGGGGACTACAATCACTGTGGCCAACTCACCAACATCATCTGAAACTTGGGAGAAGCTCCAACTCCTGCTTATATTGCCATGAGCTCCTCCTACCCCAGGAAATAACAATTAGTAAATCAATTAACTTATAGCAGAAATCTATCCAACACCCAATAGATCATTCTTATAAGTTAACAGTGGAAAAACAGTGCTACACATTTTAAAAGAGTAAACTTGATTTCAATGTGCTCAAAATCAGCATATCTTCCAAACATCTCCTAAACCTCCCCCTCATCCATATCACACTTGGCATATCCCCCCAGGAACTTGACCATAAAAGGAGTCCAAATGGGTGTGGGCTTGTTTGGCAAGTTCTTGGTCCAAACCTGAGGATGACAAGTGCAGTCTGGAGGAGAGATGAGAAACACATAAAATTGATCAAAGAAAAAAAAAAAAAACATTTCAATCTTTTTTCAAGATCTTATGTATCTGTGTGACTTTACACCAATGCACAACATAACACAATTCCATTTGACAGGTTCAACCCTTAATCTGTGCTAATTACCGAAACCGAGACACCCAGATAGGTAAAAGTGCAAGGTACCCAGTGCAACAGTGTGGCTAGTTGATGTAAAAATGTTAATATAGTTTTTGGACAACAATGGAGCTCTATGGCACAGAGGAATGAAGCTGTAGTAAAAGTTCAGTCAGCATATAAACCTGTAGTTCATTTCTCACACATAACTTCCTTGCTGTCATTATCAGTGGCTGTCAGTCAGCTGTTTTCATCAGTTGGTCACATCTATTCAATAGCACAGCGACTCTATCGTCTTGCTGCTATCTTTTTACAGATCATACTCTCTCTATCTGCCTTTAGTTCATTCATTCTGCTCTGAGTCCCCATCACCGCCCAGTCTTCGCACATTCATCAGCTTCATTATTTCAGCCTCAGCACAGCCACCACCAGCAGTGCCTGGACTCCATGAAGGGATTTATCTCGCTGCTGTTCAGGACAGACACCTCCCTGTCCCAAAAATCTCCCAGTAGAGTCTAAGCATCTAAGTCTTTTTGTCAAGACTTAATCACATATCATGTTTTAATAAACAATTATCTTTACTTCATTAACTTGTCTCTCCGGATTGAAATACACACAACACTTGTTAGCAGGATCAGTTCATTGATTGTTTACGTCTTTTCATGGGATTTGTTGAGAATAAGAAAAATATTGCCAGACTTATCCTTTAATCAGGTTTAAACTTTACCTTAATGAAACCTAAGCTTTGTCTAAACTAAAAATATCATTCCAAATATCTCTGTGTAGAAGTAAAGATTCTCAACATGGGATTTATTGTCTTTTTCAAATGTGTAAGTACAGGACCACACACACGTTTCACTGAGTTAAGCAGAAATGATGCCTTACGCACACAACACGGCTGCACACACAGCGAGTGAGAGTGGAGAAGGAGCAGGAATGTGTGCAGCACTCTGCTCCTGCTCTGTTTGTGGGGCTCAGTATGCAGAGAGGGGATGCAGCAGCCACCAGTCACCCCCCACTCTCCATCCATTTGCCCCCTTCCTCCCATCTGCCCTCCCTCTCTCAAGCTTTCCATTAACTTGCCACCCTCCCTCGACTCCTCACCTGCCTCCCTCTCCTCCCTCTCTTTCGTAGCGGTTCCTCAGTGCGGACCAGGAGCCGTCCTACCTTCAGCAGCCGTGCAGGATGTGAGGGAAGCAGGTAAGGAGCCCTCAGATTCTTCTCTCTCTCTGGCTGGTGCTCTTCTTTCTCTGCACTGCACAGGCAACAGTTCTCTGTTTGTCAGTGCATAGTGTGATACAGGCTGTGCTGGATCATTACAGTCATTGATGTTCTGAAGTGTCTGTGTGGGGATTTTCTAGCAGATATCTAAGAGGCTGTGACAAGTGTGTATAATGTTCAGATGTGCTTCGAGGTTATTAGATTTGTGCAGTTGAGTGGAATCAATAGCAACTGTAACTGTAATTGTAATTGTACTCTTCTGGGCTGGACTGGCAAATCCTTGACTGGATCAGACAATTGTTCCTAAGCTGTAGAAAAGAGGGAGGTGTTGATTTCACAGAGGTATCTTCAGGCAACTTTCTGCTGATTGCTCAGTGCCAGTGGGACAACAGAAACACATCACTGTATATGCTCAAATTAGAGTAATTAGCCTGCTTAATAAATAATAAATGTTCTAAATTCAGTTAGTGCTGGTGCTAATGATTATATTTTATTTTATTTATTTTTTCTTAAAATTCATTGATTGTCATTGCCTATGAAAACAACAAAGGGTTTTCTGATCTAATGCATTATCACTAATATTTGCCCATTTGGTGCCAGTGGACACACTGACACATTATCAGCTTATAAAGTTATGGTGAATGTCTGATGTTTGTGTCGTGACGAGTTTCTGTCTTGAAACTTTGTAGTTTTTCTTTCAGGCTGATGACAGCGCTGAGCAATGGCGCCAGAATAATGGGGACAAGGAGACTTTTTCTCCCCCCACTTTCAAGTGTTATAGTAATCTGAGTTTACCAATACGTCCACAGTCGTCATTAATGTCTTTCAGAGGCTGTGGCAGTTTAAAGCTAGAGTGAAGATGCTGGTATTGTATGAAACTAGACCTAACGCATCCATTGGTACCAACCATGTCATGCTAGCTTGTCGGGACGAAGGCAAAATAACACTCCAAGGTTAGACAAAATGTTTGTGATGGACAAACAGAGATCCTTTGACCTCTGACCTCAAGATATCTGAATGAAAATGGGCTCTATGGGTACCCACAAGTCTTTACAAACAATCCCACTTTCTGCTAAACCCATGCAGTTCTGGGCAAAAACCATGCAGTTCTTTGTATGTATAAAATGAGCAATTGTGACCTCTAGGATAATCACAGTGTAATGAAACTGTACAACCACAAGCTCCAAAGGATTATGGGTTTCCTAGCCACTGATTTCTCACCATATTTTAGCTGACCAAAAATGATAGGCTAGGCTAAGAATGAAAAGAACCTGACTAGCATATTATATCATCCAAAGCTGAATGTCCCCCTACTTCCAAACTCATCCTGGCACCACTGGTGCTGTGACTTGACCTAAAGTTGGTTCAGCGAAATATAGAGGAAATGACGCAAAGACCCACATTTTAGATGACAAAATGTAAAGAGTATTCAGTGTGTAATGGCTACACAGTTTTACAACTGGAAAATATAAGAATCACTTTTCTCCAGCGAGCCACAGGAGAGGGACTAAAGAGCTGTATGTCCAGAGTCGCAGGTTATCTATCCCTGAACTAGATCCTGATGAAATAATGTACATTCCACAGGATGGCTGGAGTGAAAGATGACTGAAGCAACTGTAGCAACAGAGCCAATTTTGAATGTCAGAGTTTGAATTCAACTGTTATATCATTGCAGTGTCTGCACTTTAGTTTCTCACTCTGCGCAGCATCATTAAATTTCCTTTTACACAGCCCACTACATTATCTGCTTCATTTAAAGCCTTTTTTAAAAGGAAACATGCTGGCTTTAGAAGGCTTAGAAAAGTGGATAGAGACTGAGTGAAGACAGTTTATCTGTTGCCATTCTAGCAGCTCACTGCTTTACCACTTTATTTCAGTTCATAATGATTAATGCACTAGTTCAAGTAAAGGTCGATCCTGACCTCAAACAAGACATGCAATGCAGTGTGTCTTTTCTTGTTTGTGTTTGGTACAGAGATAAAGCACAAAGCAATAATGGAAGTCATCATTCAGAGCTGTGAGGATGCTTGGAAGTCTGTTCACTGCGTGGTCGATATCGATGTGAGAACAGTGTTTTTTAATGTCATTAAAGTTAAACCAATACTTTGTTTGCCAGTGTATGGTATCAGTTTGTAATGCCACAGTAGCAGCCCAAAGAGCGTTCATTAGATCTATCTTAAAGCAATGGTTAGGGTTAGGTTACGATGCAGGCACTGCTCTCCATCAGCATTCCCCGCCCCAATTCCAGGCCTGAAAACTCAGTGTTCTGAGCACCCAATGGCATCCAGGGCAATACAGCTAAGCTAACTAGCTAACAGCAGTTACTTTACTGTCCATCAGGAAACTCTGTAAATCACAGAGTTGAGGCAAAGCAGCTGGAGGACATCAGAGGGAAAACCAGAAAACATTTTCTCCATAAAATATGATTCAGTTTCACCAAAATTCACCATAGTTGGTGGTGTGTGACTTACTGCAGTAAAGAGTTACGTACTTGCTCCGACCCAGAGACAGAAGTTACACAGTGCCAAAAACAGGCGTACAGAGCGCAGAGGAATGACAGAGGCAGTGTAGCATCAATTTTGAAGCTGTTTTAAGGTAGAAAAGTTACATAATGAGGCTTTAAAGGAGATTTTAGACATGTAGATCTGTGTAATGATTACTAATACTCAGTCTGTGAAAACAGCTGTGTAATGTCTTCAGTGGCTCTGGATGAGCTTTGTCAGGTAAGCTGTGATGGATTTTTACAACAATTTGCATAATAATTTTACCACCGTAGAGGTTTGTCTCCCATCTGTCTGATTTTTCTTAACTTGTCTTGTTTTGTAGCAGTCAACATGTTCCTGGATCTCACCAATTAACCTGCTGAGGACCCAATTTGTATTAATCAAGAACTAACCCTTAATGTTGTTTTAGAGGATCATTGTCATCTGTCATCATCTAATGTTTAGGTATCACCTCAACAAATCCACATCCAAACATTTTTGCCTCAGTGCACTATGTCTCCTCTGCACACTGTGACTCATCTGAAACAGAAGACAGAGATATATGTTATAAACAAAAACAACATGGTTTCCCAGCTTTAGGAAGTACCAATATGTGGGTTTTGTGTATATGTATGTCTGCATTGGAGGAAGTCAGACTATAAACATTGCCAGAAGCAAATCTCAGACTTCCATTTGAAATATTTGACTTCATCGCATTCAGAATTTAAACCAATAAATTGCTTAAACAATAAAAGTCTTAATATCTTGGTTGAGGGGGCTGGCACAGAAACCGACGAGGCGGCGTGTGTAGTAAAGTATGGTCTGGAGAAAATCCTGCAGAAAACATTCCAGCGAAAATAAATTTTATATTCACCATCTATCATGATGTCAGGAGAGGTAAAAAACACTTTATTTTAATCCAGTGAATGGCGCTGGTTAGAATCATCCAATCAGTGTGTGCTTCTAGCTGGGAGAATGTAGAATGAGGTAGTAAATTCACTCATATATGAAAAATATTATCCTTTCCAACTTTGAAATGGACTCGATATGTAGCAGGCAATGCATTATATTTGTAGACACAGGAGCCTTGGACTTGATGTTACAGCTGATGTTGGTCTAACTGGGATCTGATCCATTTAGTAGTCGATGTCTGATATGATGGATGTGATGCAGTTTGATTAACCTACTGTATAATGAACTGTATGATTTGTCACTACTTCACTGGTCACAGAGGCTGATAAGGAAGTCGCATACCAACTTAATGTCCTGTACAGAGGAAAGCTGACCTTACCTTGCAAGGCAGCTGGATTCGCAAGATCACAAGATCATGTCGGAATCCATAGGCTTCAAGCTGGTTTGGACCAATCAGTGTCCTTTGAGGAACTACTAGTTCCTAGTGATGCAGCGAGAAGTGATTGTTTGTTCAAAAACAACAATGGTGGCTGCTAAAGAGGTTAGCATAGCTGCTAGCATCAGTTCTATCAGAACTGAAGACTATTTCTTCATTAAAAGAAGAATAAAGTACGGCGCTGAAGGCTTTTCTTAATGGAAAATAAGAACTTTTCTCCCGACTGGCTTACTACTGTCATTGATGCGATTGGTTGAAGTTAGCCCGTGAAAGTGACAGATGGTTCAGCCAATCAACTGCCATGTATTTTTCGAAAGTTACAGCCCTTTTCTATTCATTTTCTAAGGATGACTGTGCACCAACTAAAAGACTGTGGTTAAATTAGTATAACAATTAATTTGAATTAATTAATGCAAAGTGTAACAATTGAACAATGTCTCCAATTTCTCTACTGTGCACTGACAAATTTTGACCTACTAACCACTTGGTTAAGGTTGCGGAACAACCGTGGTCATGGTTAAAAGGAACCAACATTGTCAAATCATGACATGAACAGTGGTCTCCCATCTTAAAGTCAGACATTTTGTTGAGCTCTATAGAAACACTGCCCTCCTTTGCTTCCTCCTTTGCTCCCAACCTCACTTGAAGGTAAACATATGATGTTTTGTGGTATTTGTTGAAAGGACTGATGCTGTCACTTAGCAGTATAGTAGTACAAGTACTAGTTGCTGTAGTGTTGGTATTTTTACAGTGGTAGCAGTAGAAGTGATACAGTATATCATCTTGCAATAAGCGCACATAAGAGGTACCCTGGACTTCTGGTGAGGTGTGAATGACTTCCACAACACCTAGTGTGGCTGCCTGCTGTTTGTCAGGGCGATTTCTTTGCCTGTGGCGAGGGAGGGATGTCCAGGGTCATCAGTGATAAGAGTGATAGTTGAGAGGACTGCTTGCAGACACACACTGTCACTCCATCGGGATCAATGGCCTATTTAGACATGATTGCCATCATCGGTACTGCCTTTAGAGTTCCTGGATGACAGTGACGAAGAGACAGTCACTCTAAATCTGACTAGTGTGGGGTCAGGTCCAGTTCATTCTAAGATCTCTAAATTAGTATAATATATAAGGAGAGAAAAACAACAATG